AGAGAGAGAGAGAGAGAGAGAGAAGAGAGAGAGAAGGTGAGTGAGTGAGTGTGTTTGAGGAAAGGAGATAAAGGCATCGCCTGGGTGTAAACGAGCAAAAAGCCAAGAGATTTGGGGGACGACATTGACACAAACAAATACACATGCAAACATACACATTCTCGTACATAGAGGTAGGAAGATGGATAGAAAGGCAAATAGACCGATAGATTGAAAGGTAGATAAACAGTAATAGAATAGCACGCAAGAGATCCAAAAACGTTTGCTTAAATATGGCTGAAAGACTGATACAGAGATATTTTACTTCATCAGGTTTCAGGTCTAGAGCAGATATTGACGACCATGGTACCACGCACATCCCTTTTGTCTGTCGTCTTGATTAGATCAGATTTTCCTAGTGTTATTTGATAAACAGATGGATGGAAAAATTGATTGCCATAATATAGGTAGATATATAGATAAATAGATAAACAGATTATTCAAGGAGCACATGATAGAGCCAACAACCTCGTATGGGACCCTGTTTACATCCCGTAAAATAACACGATATCAGCCTCTCATTAAAAACCTTTGAGGAATAGTAAGAGCGTGATAATATGAACAGATCATAATTTGTAATTTCCGATAAGACAATTTCGATAAACTGACCTCCATCAGACAGCGAGTCAAGATAACTGTAGGAAGACTTGCGAGAACTTGGAGCCTGTAACTCTCGCTCCCTGGACGCGCTGCTCCGGATGAAAGAGGGCGCTGTGAAGGTAGAGAAAGTAGCCTTTACACACTACTTCATCTTAATGTAAGCACTTTTGACTTTTGATGAGGATTTGATAAGCTAAGTTATCCGGAAAAAAGTAATGTCAAATCTGAAAACCTAATGCCATAAAGTAGACTAAATATATTGCTAAAGAGTTGCTGGCGTTTGCCCATACCATTTCACAAGAGTTCAAGGCATTTTATATTATTAATAAGTTGAAACATCCCCTGACCCAAGCTGGTGGCAGAGAGACGTTTCTTTTTTTCCACACGACACCCAAAAAGGGCATAAACGGAGGATAAAAGTAAAAAGTGAAGTAACTAAGGTGAAACTTCCTATTTTACACTATAATTATGATAGATTTTGTTTTGGAGACTATGTTACAACATTGTCAATATGGATTTTTAAAAATTCTAAATATTTTTGAAAAAATGATTTCCTTAAAACCTCACTCATTACTAGTAGATTCTAAAGAGTTATTTATGCAAGATCCAAAAGGGAATTCTCACAGATTCTTAACCCCCCCCCATCCCCGAAACGGCAGATTCTTGCTTTGGCAGTACATTAGATTGCGTTTAGGAGTAAAGAAAAAGAAGACGATTGTGTACAGAGAGAAAATTTTAAAAATCTCCTTACTTTTTGACCTCGTGAGTGCAGCTGGCAGAGTTGCCTCACTAGAGCCGAACTCGTTCTCGGCGCGTACCCGGAAGAGATAATCCTGAGCTGGTTTGATGCTCTTGATCAGGTAGCTGACGTCATCGTGCCTGGAGACGAGTGGTACCCACTCAACGTCCGAGGGTTCTTTTTTCTCCACGGTGTACAAGATGGGCGTTTTGCGGGCGTACGCGGGGATTCTGGCTGGTGTCCAAGACAGCCGCATGCTGCCTTGGTCAATGATGCCCATCCTGGGCGTGTCCATCGGCATTTTGGGCGCGGCTGAAAAAGGGTAAAGAATGTTGTCATAGACTGTCGTTTGTAATCTGACGTTAAACACCACAAGACTCGATGCAAATCTCGATGTAAATATATAAAGTCGAATCTGCTCTAACTGTCTCCTGTCCAAAACAATCACCAAAACAAACGACCATTTTCCACCCCCCTTTGAGCTTTTCCAAAATATAATCATGACACTGTCCAAAACGTCCACTCCACCTGTCTACGACAGCCATGTTTTCCTGGACACTTTAGATGCCGTCCTGTTTTTTGTACTTTAAAGAAAGAGCTATTGTCCCCACCCCCCCACCTATACACGCACACGCGCACACACTCACACACACATACACACTTGGTCAAAAGCCCTAGCTGAGATTTTTTAAAAATATACTAGGAAGCAGAGAAAAACAATTAAAACTCCCTCACACAAATCGAACCCCAGACTTTGGCTGAGCTGGTAAAATTAAGAACCTACCGCGACCCGAAGCTTCTAAGCACAACTAAATTTACCAATTTAGATCAGAGGCTTGAATTTTAATATCCCAAACCGTTAAGAGGGGGGGGGGCTACACCCCCAAAGTCAAAATTCGGCACACAATTATGGAATTTGAGTTGTAGGCATTTTTAGCTTCTTCAGCCGCTCCTACAACTATTTCATTGCCTAAGAAACCCCCCAAAACCGTATTTTTTCCCATACCGGGCTTGTTTGTCACCACCATTTCCTCATACAGTCAATATTTTATTTTTCTTTATCGGGCGTTTTCTCTAAACGCAACTTTCCTCTATACTTTTTTGAATAACACCACCATTTTTACAATCCAATCTTCACGAAATGTTCACAGAATGAAGAGAAGATGTAATACTAAAAATTTCTCATTTTGACTTTTGATATATTGAATAGATTTTTGTTGGTGGTGTCTGGATTTTTTGCAAACTTGAATGCTACCTCAGGAAATTTTTTTAAAACAATTTTATGTCGGCATTTTTTTTGCGCTCATATGACCTTACACAGTTGCGAGCGCCGTAAAACCCTATACTACTACTACAATTTTTTTTGCGCTCATATGACCTTAGCAGTTGCGAGCGCCGTAAAACCCTATACTACTACTACTACAATTTTTAAAAATTCGTTTAGGGAAAAACAAAACAACAGATAGATTTTTAGATCTAATGTTTGTTAACACGCATGCAAAAAACCCCCCAATTAATTTCCATGAGCAATAAGTGCGGTATTCATTACGTAAGACATGTCAACAAAATCCAATTTGGCCGTGGGTGGATTGCATCACTTACAGGTGTCGCCAAACAGAGATCCAGAGGACTCATACTGCTCAAACTCCATTTCAGCTGCAACGTCCTTCAGATCTGCAAAAGGACAAAAAGTAATGAATTTTAATCTCGTTTACGCAGGTTACACATTCGGTTTCGTTTTTACGCTTGCCGTTATCAAACACAAACTTGAAACCTAATACGCGTACCCGGCAAAATCGATTACTTCACCCAAAAAATTAGAAATTACCGGCGTGTGTGTAAGAGTGTATGGTTTTGTCTGGTTTCGTGTGAGTGTGTGTGTGTGTGTGTGTGTGTGTGTGTGTGTGTGTGTGTGTGTGTGTATGTGTATGTATTAATGTGTGTGTGTGTGTGTGTGTGTGTGTGTGTGCGTGTGTGTGCGAGTGTATACGTGTGTGTGTACGTTTGCCAGTTTGTTTGTGGCCTTGTCTGAGTGTATGAATGACTCACATGGATATGAAAAAAGGAAAGAAAATGAAAGGAAAGTGTCTTTGAGACATTAGGAATTTGTGGAGAGTCAGTATTTGTTAGATACGAAAGGAAAGCGGCGGCAGAATTAACAGATAGACCGATTAAGGAGGAGGAGGAAGAGCAAGAGGTGGAGGGGGATGAGGAAGAGGAGGAGGAGGAGGAGGAGGAAGATGAGGGGGAAGATAGGGAGGGGAGAAACATGATGATGAGAGTCCGAGGAGGAGGAGGA